GAATAGAAGTTCATTTAGGCTTTCTGGGCTTTGGTTTGCGTCTTGCCTTATTGTGTACATATATATTATAAACAGGAGGGGAGATGGAACATAGTTCTGCTCTTGACTATAATTGCAGGCAGGAGAAATAAGCTCCGTTGTCTTGAAGGGAAATCGTATTTTATGCAGTATCTCAGCGTGGGTTGATCCTAAGCTTGCAGGCAGAGTTGAAGAAACCGATTGTCTCGAATATCTAAATTCTGTTGCATGAGGCCTTTAATATTTATGTAACATATTTAGCCTCTTCTCATTGTTAAGACCCATCTGCCGTTAAACCTCTACTAAAGCTAAACAAAAAACAATCTATAAATAATACCAGTTCTTGCATTCATGTAGCACATATCCACGTTCTACAACGTGCTCTTTGCACGTTACACAACAGACCCTAGAAAACAGTTCTCGGATTCATGGGAAGCATACGGTGCAAGCTGCAGATAAAGTGTTACAAACGCTAACAAACTTACAAGACCTTTTGCTGTCTACAGTCGGTTACTCATTCCCATCTAGGTGAAGGGAAGAACATTAATGTAATGCGCCTTTCCATATGACACGAGACCCCTGACCTTTAGGTGGAGATTAAGAGAGCATAACAACTTAGCCACCTTAATGAGTCGGTGACCTAGTGGTAAGGCTCTCGGACTCGCAACCGTTAGGTCGCTGGTTCGAATCCCGTCAGGTGCCCGACGTGGTGTCCTTGGGAAAGGCACTTTACACGAATTTTCCTCACTTCACCCAGGTGGGAATGGGTACCCGGCTATAGACAGCGAAAGATCTTGTCAATTTGTTAATGTTTGAGCGCTTAATCAGCTGCTCGCACTGTATGCTTCCCGGGAAGCTGAGAATGTTTCGGAGTGTTCTATGGTCTGCTGGGGTAATAATATAGTGTAAAGCGCATAGAGCCTGCTGTTGAGCGGGAATATGAGCTATACAAATGCTATTTATTATTACTATTATTAAAATTAAAATAAAAATTTAAGCCTGAAATTGAACATCAGGAAGTCCATGTTTACCTTAAAATAGAGTTAAGAGTAGAGAAAAAAAAGCATTTTGCAGAAATGTTTTCTTACATTGTTTTCTAAAATTGACAACAGATTCACATTCTAAGTTGTCTTAGATATATCACCATCCGCAAAGAGGTTATATATAATGCTAGAGCTCGCGGCAGTGACGTTACACGTATCACACATGATACCTTCTTACCTCACTCAACGGCATGGCCTGCGTCCCCCCCCCCCCCCCCCCCAGTTACATGAACATTTTGCACCCACAGCCTACAACTCCCCACGAGCTCTGGCCTATTAAACACAAAGTTTAAACAACACCCTGCCCGCACATTTTAATGCAAACTTGGAGATTTCCTCATTAGTCTGTCGTGCGTCTTCACGTGAGTCTCGAAAAAAACTCATCCGTCTGTTTGACTGCGAGCCCAACCTCCTTCAATCGCAAATATCTTTGCTTCTGTTCAAGATAGATGTGAACTCCCCCCCCCCCCCCCCCCCCGAAAGCAAGACAACTGAATAAGCTTTTAAGATGATACCAGTAATACTATATTATTCCAAAAAATTCACGAACACCTGCTTTCACCGCATCGTCTCACATATTATCATCCTGCAGGATTCAACTGGTCCACGGACCCCGAGATGGAAACCCCTTCTCTAAAACAACGCGTCCAGAGGCTGGTACATGGTGCGATGTCAGGCTGTAGTACGAGAGGTCGTTCAACAAATCCATACCTTAACTGAGATAGAAAACAAGGATACAGAATACTACAAAGATAAGATGCTGGGTTTATGAAGATCGCGAAAGAATATTTTTGCTGTTGTATGCTTTCTTTCATAGGTAGAATTAAACGAAAGAATAGCCGCTATTTTTTTTCCTTCCATAGCTTGAGAGTCCTTGGAAATTTAAATCAACCACGTTTTTCAGAAGTATCCACATATGAATGTTTCTTTTTAAAGGACATAAAAGGTGTTGAGCTAAATCACACACACAAAATGACAAAGATTGCCAAACTGGTGGGAAAATGCCGGTTTCTTCGATCTCATTACTTTGAGGAGCCACTGATTTCACCTTGATGCCTCACATATTTCTAGGCCCCTTCTTTTACTTCAAAGTTTAGCGTTACCGCGTCCCGAGCAAGGTAGATTATTTTGCGAATTGTCCACCAACTTCTTTTAGCTGGTAGAGACACTCAAGCGGACCATGTGCCTTTTTGGTATCACAGATCTGTGTAAAATGCTCATCTCAGCCATAAACTTGAATAAATCAAAGTACAGGTCTCCAGTCTGTGGGAGAGCCACTGGGAAAACCAGAAAAATAATAAATTATATGAAATTAAACCCAGACTAGAACAGCGAAATCCTTCGGATCTCTCCAGAAGAGACGAAGTCATTTTTACTCGATTGCGCATCGGACACACGGCCCTGACCCACAAATACCTACTACAGGGAGAGGAGAAGCCGTTCTGTGTCGGATGCGACACAGATTTTACCATTAGACACATTTTAACAGAATGTCTAGACTTTGGAGAGATCCGAAGGAAATATTATAAATGCAAGAAATTGCAGGATATTTTCTCCGTCGTTGTTCCCAGCAGAATTTTAAATTTTATAAAGGCCATTGGCCTTTATGGCGAGTTGTAAAGTGAATCTGATATTATTTAAAATTGTTATTGTTACTTAAAAGTTGTTTTAGATCACAAATGTATTTACACCGAATTTGAATATTTTAACTTTTTAGCATTTTAAGGTAAATTAGTTACCAGTCGTGAAGTGAACTTTCGCAGAGGTGAACAACTTGTGTTTCGCGCGCTCATATGACCTTAGCAGTTGCGAGCGCCGTAAAACCTTATACTATATATATATAAAGTACAGGTCTAACCATACTGAGGAGCACCTTCAACTAAAAACGGGGTTCTCCTCTTGATTCCTCCCTCAAGCCAAGTGTGGCTTAGCTATGTAAGAGAAAGCGTGCGCTGCCAGGTCCCTGAAATAGGTAAAAGAAGCTTATTATCATGTTCTAAAGAACCGCTTTTGTTCTGAAGTGCAGTTAATAACGATAGAGATGATTCGACCTGTTAGTTTCACTTTGTAAATACTTGCTACCTGTCTGTGCGTGTGGAATACTTGATGCGGCTCACGCTCACCCAGACCCTACCTCCGGCACCCCTCGAGTAATTCAAGTTTGGGACAACTGTTTCAGAGAGTGAGTAAAATGTGCGAAATGTACAATCTTTGCTAATGTTATAAGTTAGGGTATGGGTAAATACACGGTATACGAGCAAAAGAGTAACGTTATGATATACAGTGGCGTCCAAAAGAAACATGAAAATGTAACTACCCATTCATGGTGTTAAAGCGTTGCTCTACCCACTCATAAAGCATACCAATTTGAAGCTAAATAAATTCTACATCTGACACAATAATAACTCATCAATGTTAAGTGACACCCGATATATGGTCACTCAAAATTAACCTTTAGAAAATCCAGGCTTGGCAAAATTATGTGAAATCAAAGAAACGCGAATGTATTGGATAGAATAAATATTCATAGAATGGACATACATTGCAGATCCAAATGAATGGAGAATTCTGTCTATGCAATAAACAATATTTTATTACAATACATTCAAACAAAATGGAAAACAGAGCAATCACTAATACCACACAAAACTAGGTTTAAATTAATGTACGCATTGTTATTTTGTTTAGAACTCATTGGTTTTGTGTTGGGCACGAACCCTTTGGGCATCGACTCTTTTGGATTTTGGATATAATTATCTGTCAGTTCATCTCAAATGTCACAAAGAGTTGCAAACAAATAGCCTGAATTGGAAGCAAAGTAGCTTTTCTTCATCTGCTGTTTCAGGGGACTCCCATACCTGTGGGATTCATATCGGGGCTTTTTACTGGTGACCAATCGATCGTTGGTACAATTTGGTTTTCCAGGAATTGTCTAGGGTAATTGGCCCTGTGAGAAAATGCTTTGCTATGCGTGGAGATGTCTACTTGACTGGCACCATGACGAAAATATAGGTAACACATGACGTTCTGGCACTTGCGCGATGTAGTCCACTAAACCAAGCACCTGGTGATTCTCACGACGGCGGTTTTGATCATCGACCCCAGATGACTCCAACCCAGGGACACTGTTATTGTGGCATCCTCCTCACAGCCCCAACCATGTTCCATTCGAATTTCATCTTTTCAGGTTTCAAGAGCTTTTTTTTTAGTTGGAAAGAAGCTCACAGAATATAACGAAGATCCTATCGCAGACGTTCGCTTTTGGCTATAGTCTTTTTATCAAGAGTTTTCCAGGACGCTATAGACCCTGGGGTGGAAAAACTCATTTTTTGCATACGAACTATAATGAAATCTAGCAGAACAGTGAGTGAGTGTTATTCAGTTCCATACACAATTATTTACCCACTTACCATTTTCAAATTACATGGCATAGAGCCCTCGTACATTCGTAACACATAAAAACAAATCAACAAAAAACAAATTTTAACTGACAAACGTTTATTGCTTCTGGTTGCCTATCCACTCAAGTTTTGATTGTTTTTTAAAAACCAGCGTGCTATATCAACTCTTTGTTATAGTAAGTACTTTGTGTAAGTATATAGGGTTGCATTTCAAGTGACGAAAAATCTGCGAGAAAAAAAAAACAGGGATGAAAAATATGAAACATAATATTATTATGATACTAATGTCCGAAAAGTCAGATAATAATAACAGCATAGCGAGCTGTACATTTAGTTAATTGACATTGGAAGGAAATCTCCGGTTCTTTATAAGAGGGTTCGGGGGGGGGGGGGGGGGGGTGAGGGGAGGCTGCAGGTCTTGCTGTAGGGGCCTTTTATTATTTTCTGGGAATGAAATTTATCTGAAATCAGTGTAGGTCTAGATCCCTTCAGCCATGGGTGAAGAACAAACACCTTTTTGCTGCCTTGCAGAGGCTGCCGTCTTCCAGAATATTTTATTATCTAAAACTATTCTTATGAAATATCTGACGTGTCAACATACCAGAATGAACTGGATTGCCGGAAAGAGAACTTCTCGACAGGGCTGCAGGCTGAGGGACGCGGAAAAAATTCTCTGAGCTCAGAGCTTTTAGACGACGAAAGTCAAGGGACGAGTGATTCTCGTCAGCCACAGAATTGACAAACAAGGTCAAAGCAGCCTGCTTCCTAAACCATTTCAATAGTGTCAATGGGACGTAAAGAATCTATTATCATTTTTGGGTCTGGGGCAATGTTGGTTTAGTTTCTTTTTAAGGTTTCGTTTTTATTTTCTTAAAAAACAAAAGTCATAATTATTCCTTTTTTTCGAAATTGTCAGGATTTGATCATACTGTATTTTCAAATCATTAGTTAGGCAGTTTCAAAGGCTGGTCAAAACTCACAGTTGGTTTGTATATTATAATAATATACGTTTTCGAAAAGTAGCAGCTCTTTGTGTTCTAATATTAGCCCTTTGTGCATCGGGGAAGCATTTTGTCCAGGATCTGCTTGTACTTTGAACTCATGTTGTAATACACAAAGATATTCACTGCGGAATTCGTTGTTGATAAGGAAGCAGAAAATGACCATATCAGAAGATACAAGTCCCCGTATTTCCCTGATGCGGTATATTCGGGTTCTAAACTTTGTGCAATAAAGTTAATTACACTTGGCGAGAGGCATACTATGAAAATGATCGCAATAAATAGAACCAACTTCACAATTTTCTTGTCTCTATTTGAAAAAGAGTCATGATCTCCAGAACTGGAAGTAGACTTCCGCCATTTTGACTTACTAATAAGGTTTTGGACAAGGATTATAGAGCAAATGATGACGATGCTAAATGTAATGAGTTGAGAGAAGGCATTAATCAAGAAAACAGCACTTTCTATGGCAAAGCCGTTGGTAATATAAACAATTCTTATCTTGGTCTCGTTCTTTAGAGGAGAGTATCTGGGCTCCAGACGAAGGGCATAAAACACTAGCAGCAGGGCACCTATCATTGCCACGTATATGCTAACGAGTACGATAACTGTTCTCTTCACTGTTATCATTGTTTTAACTTTCAGAGGCACAGCAATACAGAGACATCTTTCCAGCATTATGGAGGCTGTAATCCAACCAGAGATACGTGAAAAGCAAGTACCTGGCCACCCTGCCGTGAGATACAGGACATCTTTGGGATCAAAAGGCAGACACGCATTTGCAAAGAAAGGGTTAAAACCAATGCTCAGCCAGAACGACGCAATCAGTGCCCCTATATCGGCAATGGCCAGGCTGAACAAAGAGATGTTCACGGTGTCTTTAAAGCCCTGTCTGATAAAAACGATTAGGTTGATGACGTTAGCCACAATGCCAAAGAAGCTGATGACTCCTAAAATAATGACGTAGAAACCGATGACAAAAATTGCAAGGACTAGATCGTTGACCATTCTACTAGGCCGTGGTCCAAACGATGTTCCATGAGTTTCGTTTCCAGAGGCCATCTCTGTTCTCTTGTGACGTTTCTCCAACACCTGAACTTGCACAAGCACTAGAGCTGTATAAATAGAGAACAAACGACGTGTTGATACGACCACCAGAGCCTGTCTGTTGAATTTTTAAAATCTTATTTGAGTGCGCGAAATGAACTTAAATTTTAAAAAAAATAAAATAAATAGATAAATGAGTAAATGAATATATAAATAGATAAATGAGTAAAAGAATAGATAAATAAATAAATAGCATATAATAATAACAATATAAAATGAGTAATAATAATAATAATAATAATAATGGTAATAATAATAATTATAATTATAATAATAATAATAATAACAACAACAATATTGCAACTGCATTTAAAAAGCTATTATCCACACTCCCCGCACGCTGTATTAGTTTAGATAAACCATACAGAAATGAATAACACATAAACGATTCAGCAAGTGCAGACAACGTTTATAAAAATAATAAAATGGTTTTAACAAAAGAGAACAACTGACTTTTGTTTCCACATAAATCCATAAAGATTTGCTTTCTTCGCTCTGAATAGTTCAAGAGTATGTTATGCACAGTGAGACCGGGGGCTTTCGTGGCCAAGAGGTTAAGGTGGCTGCGTCTCATTCAACAGGGCCCGGGTTCAAGTCCTGACAGCGACTGAAAAATTCCTTGTCTAAAATGTTCTCATATAACCCCATTTCCTCCTCTCTAGCAATGTTCTGTCGTCTGTTTTCGTCTCCGATTTCTGCCCCCCAACCTACTTTGCCCCCTCCTCTAGGCCCCTGACTCTTTCTGCAGCCTTTATACTGCTTCTCCTTGGCTCATTCTTACTGCTGTCTTTCAGCCACACCCCTGATCTTATGGTAGGTCAGATCCAACACCTAGCCTTCTCGGACAAGAGCAAAAAATCCCCGGACGATAGATGCTCCATAGGAAAGAAGAAGCAAACCACAGCCGGAGCACCCGAAAACCACCCATAACTTTTTTTCGTAACTGTATATAAAATACTACAGATCTCCGTCACGCGTAAAACGGGATTGTTTACTGCACCTCCCGCTTTTCACTCATAGTTTGCATACGCGTATGGCCTACTTCACAGCTCACCAAAGGCACTTTATAGTGGCAAAACTTGTTACAAGAATTAATTAACTTTATAGTGAGCACTCTGTCTTAGACTAAAGGTTCTCAAAACTTGCGTTCAACGTCATGGTCAGAAAAAAATGACGACCTGTTTTAAAAAACGATATCGTCCTTGTTGTAAACCTTTTAAAAGTCTGTAGAAACCACCCATTGGAATTTTGTATTAGTATTTATAAGGATTGTTTACGTTTACCCTATCCGCACGTCGTGTTTTACCTTCTTATCCATATGACGTGAGGAACTCTGT